AAAAAAAAAAAAAATAAACACATCATGGTAAAATTAATACCTTCTCAGCTTCGCATCGAAGCTAATATTGTAAAAAACATAGATCTTTTTCAACTGAACTTTTGAAAATGTTCCGGAAATACTACGTCCTTTAAACATATATCAAATTAAAGCTTATTTCAAGTACTATAAAATAAAAAAAAAAAATTTGTCCCGACGACCTATCTTCTATACGCAAAAGGCTACCGTATTCAAAAATATGCTATTTTAACAAATTTTTATTTTATAAATTAAACACTATCTACAGATTTGCATCGAAGCGTTTTTTATGATAGTGATTTTAATCACTGTCAGATATCATCTATACTGGACCCAACTATGCCACGACCCCACTGTGCCGCCACCCCACTGTGCTGGGTTTTTTATAATAAATTTAATCGTGAATATNTCAATAATATTTTATAATAAATTTAATCGTGGATACTTATTTTAGATTCTATGTATTTTTTTGTTGTAACTTTTGTATTTTAATGAAAAATTAGGATTTTGTACCTCGTTAATTAAACGTGAGTTATATTAACTAGTGTGCAGACTTATTTTTTTATGTTTTAACATTGAATTAAACCACATTAACTTNTGTTTTAACATTGAATTAACACCACATTAACTTAAGAAATTAATATTAAATATATTACATTAAGTTAAGATGGTACATTTTTGGAAAACATAGCGCATAGCATTTTTTTTTTCTAAAAAAATGAATGAGTATTAATTAATGTGAATTTTAAAAAACAATCAACATTATTTATAGAAATTATTTTACTTATTAAGTGAATGAGAGAGATAGTATAATATAATCTTGAAATATAAATTATGTTTTTTTTATTTTTATAATTTAAAAATTAAATAATATAATATTTCAATATTTCTAGTACCTTTTCATTGTACATTTTTTTAGTGTGCTGCTAATAATGAATATAATCCATCAGATTTATTTGAGGATAGCCTNTCCATCAGATTTATTTGAGGACAGCCTAACATATTTAATGGGGATATGTAGCTTTTAAATTTGAATACAAATATCCGAATCTTGTAGATAATTTGAATGAACCTAATGATTGCATAGAGGTTAAATACTTTGGAATATTACGACAACCATCACCTACATTAATAAATTTAGGAAAAATCATAGGAACTATTTTTAAAAAATTAAATGAAAATGGTACTTATAGAAATACAGTTAATATAAAATATTTTTACATACCTATGATTAAATTTTTAATAGATGATATTAGAAAAACTCCAGGCTTAATAAAGGAGGTACTGGAATTAACTAAAAAAGCATGTAATTCAGATAATCTTTTGGTGGAAGATGAAGTCAAAAACTTCATTATTAGAACAAAAATATATTTTAGAATACGGAATATAAATAAAAAAACTTGCATCACAAGAAATGAGCAATAAAAANACTTGCATCACGAGAAATGAGCAATAAAAAAAAAATTCAAAAATTTATTAAATAATCATTAAAACTACATTTTTTATAAATAATGTAACAACTTATACTTACTGTAAGTAATTACACAATAAATTGATATTTAATTATTTATATGCAGTTAAACATAGTAAAATTTTACTATGCAGTTAAAGTTTTTCTCAGGTTAGATTTATCAACGAATTAAATCTTGGTTTATAAACTACTACAGTGTAACAGATAATACAATAAAGATGTATTACAACACAGTTGAAGTTAATAATAATAATAAACAAATTATAAATGAAATTGAAAACCGAAATTAACTAAAAAAAGTTCATTAAAATACTTGGCTATAACGGGACAGTGCAGCTTAATATAGAATATTTACAATGTATTTACATGTGACGTCACGTTGAGTTTATTGTTGGTTGCATATTTTACCCCTAGGCATATCATGCGCACTATTTTGGTCGAGCATACTTCTTATTCATTTGACTATGACCTTAGGTACGCTTGCTCCGTTTTCATTATCTATAATTCGCGTCTTACATTATATATTATAAAATAGTATTCATAATAGATTATGGTTCATATAAGACTGCGAAAAATCGTTTGTTTACATTTAAGATAACATTAACCTAACAAATGTGGTAGTATTTGATTATATGAATATGTATGTATTATTGTTATGTTGATTTTTCAACATTCGAGTTGATATTAAATAGTCCGTTAAAAAAAAAAAATTATGCAATATATAATTTTATCAAATATATTATGTTTTAAAATATAAAAATTTTAATATATTCATTAATATTATTTATTTAAGTAAGTGTTCAAAATGCCGGCCATCCATCTCTAAACACGCCTCTATGCGTTTTTGAATTTCATTAGAGACAACTTTTTTAATAATATGTTTTGGTATCGACTTACATAGTCTTACTATAATTTCTTTCATTTCATCTTTATTATTAGGGGACTGCTGGCTCATTAACTTGTAACGTAATAAAGTTATCATGAGTATAAGGTCACAGGTAACCAAATTCAAACAGTGCGCGTCGTATGTCTGTAGGGCAGTGTTGCATATACACACATGATTAGTTATTAGACAATCATTTTTCCTACCACCTGTGATCCTTGTCCATACCACATTAGAATGGTCACACTGTCAACTACCCTTTCCATGTGCTATCGAGCCGGTTTGCAAAATCACGG